GGCCCCTCCCCCACCTGGTTGGCCTCCATCCATCTCGCCGCCTCCTGCACGTGGTGGAATTCCACGAAGGCGAATCCGCGGCTCTGACCTGGAACGGGCCCGGGGCGGGGGGGTCGGGGAGGGGCACCCAGGGACCCCCGGGGGTGGGGAAGGCACCCATGGGTGCTCCTGGGACCCCTCCCTCCCCTGGGGAAGGTGGGAGTGGTCCAAGTGGCATCTCTTGGGGACCTCCTGGTGTGGGGACAGGACATCCCTGGCTTTGTCACCCCTGGTGTCCCCCTGTGTGGCACAGCACCCCTGGGTGCTCCTGGGTGGGGGGTGGGCACCCCTGGGTGCCCCCAACTTTGGATTTGTCACCCCTGGGTGCCCCTAGGGAGGGGACAAGCACCCCTGGGTGCCCCTAGGGAGGGGACAGGCACCCCTGGGTGCTCCTAGGGAGGGGACAAGGCACCCCTGGGTGCCCCTAGAAATGGGACCAGCACCCCTGGGTGCTCCTGAGGAAGGGACGAGGCACCCCTGGGTGACCCCCCGAGTCTGGCACCAGCACCCCTGGGTGCCCCTAGAGACAGGATGGGCACCCCTGGGTGCCCCCAATTCCAGCACAGCACCCCTGGGTGCTCCCTAAGGATGAGACTGGCACCCCTGGGTGCCCCTGGGAAAGGGACAGACACCCCTGGGTGCCACCAAAAAGAGGATGGGCACCCCTGGGAATCCCTAAAGATGGGACCAGCACCCCTGGGTGCTCCTAAGGAGGGAATGGACACCCCTGGGTGCCCCAAAGGATGGGATCAGAAGCCCTGGTGCCCCCCGAGTCTGGCAAAAGCACCCCTGGGTGCCCCTAATGATGTGATCAGCACCACCGGGTGCTCCTGAGATGGGACAGACACCCCTGGGTGTTCCTAGGGAGGGGATCAGCACCCCTGGGTGCCCCTGGGGAAAAGGACCAGCACCCCTGGGTGCCCCTAAAGATGAGATCAGCACCCCTGGGTGCTCCTGAGAATGGGACAGGCACCCCTGGGTGCCCCTGGGGAGGCGATGAGCACCCCTGGGTGCTCCCCAAATTCAGCACAGCACCCCTGGGTGCTCCTAGGAAAGCAACAAGCACCCCTGGGTGCCCCTGGGGAAGGGATCAGCACCTCTGGGTGCCCCTGAGGATAAGGCCAGCACCCCTGGGTGCTCCTAAGGAGGGAACAGGCACCCCTGGGTGCCCCTAGGGAAGGGATCAGCACCCCTGGGTGCTCCTAAAGATGAGATCAGCAGCCCTGGTGCCCTCTAAGCCTGGCACAAGCACCCCTGGGTGCTCCTAGGGAAGAGATTAGCACCCCTGGATGCCCCTAGGGAAGGGATTAGCACCTCTGGATGCCCCTACAAATGGGATCAGCACCCCTGGGTGCTCCTAAAGGTGGGATCAGCACCCCTGGGTGCTCCTAAGGAGGAAATGAACACCCCTGGGTGCCCCTAGGGAAGGGATCAGCACCCCTGGGTGCTCCTGAGGATGGGACAGACACCCCTGGGTGCTCCTAAGGAGGGAATGAACACCCCGGGTGCCCCTAGGGAAGGGATCAGCACCCCTGGGTGCTCCTGAGGATGGGACAGACACCCCTGGGTGCCCCTAAGGAGGGAATGAACACCCCTGGGTGCCCCTAGGGAAGGGATC